AGAAGCAGTCAGCACTGCAAAATGTATCAGCCTCTACCCAAAACACAGAGCTGTGAGCTGAAAAGGTCTCACAAGGGACATAATTATTTCAGGAGTGGGCACTGCAAGCTCCTATATGTAGCTGCAGGAATCATTATTACAGAATCATAGACTACTACTCAACAGGAGGTGACCATTTGGTCATCACGTCTGTGCTAACTCCTTCAAAGAACAAATCAATGAGTCCCATACCCCATCCCTACGTTCCTCAGTGACTTGGAGACAATAAGGACTGTAGAAGCCAGAAGCCAGAGTCAATAGGTGTGAAGCTAGAAAGTACAGCAGGTCAGACAACATCCAAGGAGCGGGAAAGTCAACATTTTGGGCCGAAACCCTTTGTCAGAATGGGAAGGGGGAGGGGTGTCCAGAAGTAAAGAGAGAGAGGGGGGGGGGCCAGGGGAAGGGTAGGTGGGGTGGTGATAGGTGGATACAGGTAGGGGGTTATTGTGATTGGTCAGTGGGAAGGGTGGAGCAGATAGGTGAGTAGGAAAATGGACAGGTTAGGTCAGGTCAGGGAGGCGAGGAGGAGGGGGAGGGCTGGACATGGAACAAGGTTGGGGGTGGAGGGATTTTGAAGCTGGTCAAGTCAATATCGAGGCCACTGGGCTGTAAGCTCCCAAAGGGAAACATCAGGTGTTGTTCCTCCAGTGGAGGAGGCCAAGGATGGACATGTCGCCAGGGAGATGTTAGGGTTGGGGGGGGGACATTGATGTTGAAGACCAGATGACTGTTGATTCCGCTGACACTGAAAACCATGTGACATCCACTTCCAATGGCATCAAAGATCATGTGACTGGCAACATCATTGAGGGCCGGGTAACTTCCGCTTCCGCCCATGTGACCACTCCAGCACACACCCCCATTGTGGATGAAGTTTCCATCCCCGCTCCTGACCCCAGCTCTACACTCAGCCCCAGCCCCAAACCCTACTGGGTATTCACCATCCCCCCCAACTGACCTCCCCCTCACTGAGGCTGAACGGTCAGTCCTCAGCAAAGAGCTGTTTTCCCATTGCTTCTGCCTCCATGCCTATTTCTTTGAACAGGAATCTAACCCACCCTCTTAACAACCCCTTCTCCCACCTCCAGCAAACTCCATCCTCCTGCACACCCACTCCCGGCCTCCTACCCTCCCTCGACTCCTTTATCTCAAACTGCTGCCGTGACATCAATCACTTGGATCTCTCCACCTCTCTCACTTATTCCAACCTCTCACCATTGGAATGTGCAGCCCTCTGCTCCAACCCCAACCTCACTATTAAACCCGCTGATAAGGGGGACGCACTGGTAGTATGGCTAACTGACATCTACATCACTGCGGCCAGATGCCAATTCTCTGAAACCTCCTCCTACCGTCCCCTTGATCAGAACCCCATCACCAAGCCATCATCTCTCAGACCATCAACAACCTCATCACTCTGGGAGATCTCCTGTCCACAGCCTCCAACCTGAAAGTTCCCCAACCCCGCACTGCCCATTTCTATCTCCTTCCCAAAATCCATAAACCAGACTGCCCTTGCTGACCTATTGTCTCTGCCTGCTCCTGCCCCACTGACCTCATCTTCTCCTACCTCGACTCCATTCTTTCACCTTTGGTCCAGGAGCTCCCTACCTACATTTGTGACACAACCCATGCTCTCCATGGCCCCCCAACACCTCATCTCCACCATGGACATACACTTTACACTTGCATTCCTCCACACGGAGGGCCTAAAAGCCCTCTGCTTCTTCGTCTCCTGTAGGCCCAACGAGTTCCCCCCACTGACACTCTCATTTGCTTCGCAGAATAGTCTTCACCCTCAACAAATTTTTCTTTGATTCCTGCTACTTCCTACAAACCAAAGGGTTGGCCAAGGGCACCCGCATGGGCCTGACCTATGCCTGCCTCTTTGTAGGATTTGTGGAACAGTCCCTCTTCAACCATTACACTGGCACCATCCCCCACCTCTTTCTCCGCTACACTGATGACTGTATCGGTGCTGCTTCGTGCTCCCATGAGGAACTCAAGCAGTTCATCAACTTCGCCAATACCTTCCACCGCACCCTCACATTCACCTGGACCATTTCTGACACCTCCCTCGCCTCCTTGGATCTCTCCTTGTCCATCTCACCACTGACATCCATTTCAAACCTACTGACTCCCACAACTAACTCGACCTCACCTCCTCTCACCAACCCTCCTGCAAAAATGCTATCCCATACTCTCAATTCCTCCGCATCTGCTCCCAGGATGACTGGTTTTACTCCACGATATCCCAGATCTCCTCCTACTTTGGGGACCGGAGTTTCCCCCTTCTTATAATTAGATGCCCTCAATCGCATTTCCTCCATTTCCTGCATTTCTGCCTTCAAACTCCCTCCTCCCCAACAACGATAAGGATAGAGTTCTCTTAGTTCTTATGAACCACCCCACCAACCTCCGAATCCAACGCATCGTCCTCTGTCATTTCCGCCACCTGCAATCAGACCCCACCACCAAAAAGATATTTCACTCCTCATCCCTGTCTGCTTTCCGCAGGGGCCGTTCATTCCGCGACACCCTCATCAGCTCTAAACTCCCCACCAATTTCTACATCGCAAACAGCACCTTTCCCTGCAACCACAAGAGGTGCAACACCTGCTTCTACACCTCCCCTCTCACCTCCAAGGCCCCAAACAATCCTTCCAGATCTGGCAGAGACTCACCTGCTCTTCATCCAACCTAAGCTACTGCATCTGTTGCTCCCGATGTGGTGTCCTCTATATCAGGGAGACCAAATGCAGATGCAGGGACTGGTTCGCGGAGCATCTGTGCTCTGTACGCATCAACCAACCCGACCTTCCAGTTGCCATCCATTTTAATTCCCCTTTCCACTCCCTTGATATGTTCATCCTTGGCACCCTCCACTGTCAGAATGGGACCAAATGTAAACTGGAGGAACAACACCTGATATTTCGCATTGGGAGCTTACAGCCCAGTAGCTAAAATAGTGACTTCACCAGCTTCAAAAATCCCTCCACCCCCAGCCTTATCCCATGTCCTGCCCTCTCCCTCCCTGATCTAACCTGTCCATCTTCCTACTCACCTATCTGTTCCACCCTTCCCACGGAGCAAGCACAATAACCCCCTACCTGCATCCACCTATTACCATCCTACGTACCCTTTTCCCAGCCACACCCCCCTCCCTCTATTTACTTCTGTGTTCCCCTCCCACTCTTCAGTCCGGATGAAGGGTTTCAGCCCGAAACATTAACTTCCTGCTCCTCGGTTGCTGTCTGACCTGCTGTGCGTTTCCAGTTTCACATCTATTGACCCTAACTTCCTCATTCTTCCCTGTATTTCAGCAATATTTTCTCCCTCAAAGCTTTATCCAATGCCGTTTTGAAAGACACAGCTAAATATATTTCTCCAACCCTCTGTGTATTCCTTTGACAATAATTAAATGCTGACACTTTCTGATCTCTCTACTCAGCAGAATTTCACTGCACAGAGATTATATCCTGACAACCAATGTACAATCTAAAGTGGTGTGTGTCGAGCAGGGGTGGGGTGAGGGTGGTAGAAGGCGTGGGGAACTGACAGACAGACTGCTACAAAAGTAACCTAATCCACGCATTGCAAATTGACAGGATCAGCTATCATGTACTCATTTGTGAGCTGCAGGCACTGTTGCTCGACCAGTATTTACTATCCATTCCAAATTATCCTTGAGAAGGTGGTGGGAGCTTTGATCTTGACTACGACTGAATGGCTTACTACACCTGTTTGAGAAAGCAGTTTGGAGAAAACCATATGAGGTGTATCTAGAGTCAAAGTAGGCCAGAGTAGGCAAAGACAGCCTTATAGGATATTAGTGAACCAGAGGGATTCTTATATAGTTTCATGGTCGCCATTCCTGAGACTTGTTTCTCTATCCCAGAGAGTTGTAGATGCTTCAACACTGAATATATTTAAGGTTGAGATGAACACATTTTTGGTCACTCTAGGAATTATGAGACACTAGGCAGATTACCAGTCTTAATCACAATGAATAAGGAGTGTGCACAAGGGGCTACATAGTTCACTCCTAAATTAATTCAAACTTCCAATTACCATGGTAAGATCTGAACTAATGTCTCGACATCATCGGTTTAGGCATCTAGATTACTAGCCTATAATCACTATGCCCAAAACTTTATATTTTCCCAATTACTTGCCAATTAGGTTTGCAATAAAACAAAATGCACAAAACTCTGACAGATTGGGCAGGCAGGAACTACTGAAGAGAAAAACGGGAGGAAGGCACAACATGGAATCTCTTCCAAAAAACAGAGGGAGGCTTTAATTGTTTTACACCCATAACTGCTAGGCCGTTGTTGTTTGGGGACTGGGGGGTATTGTTGTTACAGGATGATCATTGACATAGGAGACTTCATTGGACCGAAGCTATCTAAGATTAACTCCACTTTCCTGCCAGGTTTCACCTGTGGCATGGGGCCCCCTCGTCTGTCCATCAAATCCCAGATGAAGCCCCAACCGGCCAGCTGATTGCCACAAATAAGGTGGCCACCTCTACTGGTTGGGTAACTATTTCCACTGCATCACCCATCTCCAGTGAGATCATTTGTGGATCCTAGTCTGTGGACAGTTGACCCAACAATGACCATTTGGATTCCTCTCTCAGTCCCACTTCCACAAATTTAAAAATAGTCTGCCATTGGTGTCTGAAATTTCCATTGCTACATTGAATACATTCTCACACATGTTCAACAGAAAATGAAAGGCACCAGATTTTGACTGTGCAAAAGCTGACCATGCATGTGTTCTGTAAAGGCAACTGTGTTCACACTTGCTATCAGTAAGTTTCTGACCAACTAAGTCAATGCATATCTGATTACAAAAGCTTGATATCTCAATAAATTTACATTGTCATAATGTGACCTGATACATTCCTTTGGCCAATAAACTGTTTTGCAGCATCTTGCACTAATTAAAATGCTTACCTTCTTCGGATATCGATGGTTTTTAGTGATTTGATGTTAACTCCATCCTGGGAGCTTTCTCTTTCTTGAGGTATGAGTGCATCTCGGCCAGGCAGTGGTAAGACTACAGTCTCTTGAGTAATGGTCACTTCGTCTTCTCCTCCCTGTTGACCAATGTGCTGTTTGGCATAGTCAAACCCTTGGACTGGCTAGACAACAAAATCCATTTAAAACAACAAAAAACAACAGATTTAATACTAAAAACTGGAGAATAATCTTCTCTTAGGAAATTGGACTTCTGTAATGAGGGACTCTAAAGAAATCAAGAGGTAGGAAGAATGGGAGGAAAGTGGGATTAAGGTCAGATTCAGCCAGGATAATACTAAAGGGCAGAGCAGTCTTAATGGGCCATTCTACCAACTCCTGCTTCTATTTATGTTCATAGACCAATTGGCAAAAGTTTTGGAACAATTTATGCATTTTTCCAAAATTTTCATCTTTTATGAAGGGTACAATGCAAATCCCTCTTTCCCTCTTCCAAGTTGTTTTCAATGTAGTTGTGGGAACCTTATGTATTTTCATGAAGCTTTAAGATAACTGTATGTATGAATTTTTCTAAAATTCACCAACCTTAACAAGAGTCAACAAAATTTATTTTGCCAGCCTCAAATACCTACTAACTGGGAAGAACTTATTGAAGTTAAACAGCCCATTCTATCTCTTCTAATTCCATCATGGCACCTCCAGGCTCTATACAACTTTTTTTCTTTAAATTAATTAATTTGGATTTAAGCATCGCTGGTGAAGACAACATTTGTTGCCTATCACAAAGCATCCTTGAAGAGGTGGTGGCAGGCACCTTGCTGAACCACTGCAAGGAATGCGGACAATGAAGCGGCTTTTTGGTCCCTTTCAGGTAAAACTCAAGTGGCACGCGGAGTATGTCGGTGTCAATATGTAGGTCAGAACTGGCAATGAAAGTAGATTTCTTTCCCTTCAGATTATTAGTGAATGAAACAGACCACTTTTAGTGATAGCTTCATGGTCGCCATCACTATCTTATATTCCATTGTTGTGAAAAAAGTTAAATTCTAACAGTGACCACAAGAGATCTAAATGTTTTTTTCTAGAGTGTTCTGCCTCTGGTTATCTACACAGTAACATTAAGACCACGTTCCTACATACCCGTTATGGATACTCAAAAGCTATGCACTTTTCTGAGGAGCCTTTGGTTCCTGAATAAGGGTTTCTCAACGGGAACATAAACATCCAAGGAAAATAAGTATTGATCCTGGCCTGACAGAAGAATGTTTGAATGGAAAATCAGTCTCAAAGCCTCCTAAGTCTCATACTTCAAAACCATCACAGATCTCTAAAAATGATGACGAGCATTCAGGGTAATACAAACCTTTAAACTTTTGTTAACTTTTATATATATAGATTTCTGAGTGAAGTTATTATCAAGCTTATAGAGAGGAGGGAGTTCATCGTTGGAGAATGAAATTGCTGTTTGCATTTTGCACTCAAAATCAGGAACATCACGCAATTCTTAGCAACAGGAACTTGCAGTATGAAGCCCTACTGATACTGTTCAAATAAGACCCTTTGTTAAAAATCTCAGAAGAACTCACTTTGAGCAACTGTGAGCAACCACTTGCAGAAAGAAAGAAGAATAGCAACAAAGGAGGCTTCTGGACATTCCAAAATACTTTATATTTACATTTTTGAAATGTAGTTGTTGTCGTAAAGCCAACACAACAGCCAAGCTGTACACAAGTTCCACAAACAGCAATGTAATCAATGACCAAGTAATCCGTTTTAGTGATGTTGACTGAAGGCTAAATATTCTATGATATCAAGAGTGTCCAATAATGTTTGTTAATACACTCAGCAAAGCTGAACAGTGTCTCCCTTTCAAATTGGTTGCCAGCAACGTTCCAACTTATAGAAATGATACCTCATGTTCTCCTATCTTATTATCTTATCTTGTTGCCTTGCTTGAAGTTGGTGATTTATTCCCATGCATCAGAACACATACCCTGATAACAATCAGAAAGGATACAATAGGAAAATCTCTGGTGTAATCAAATAACAGACATATTAGTTCCTCACATATAGCCTGATGTCTTTTGCCAGAAACCAAGATGAAGGAGATTACAAAAATTGTTATGGATGGTGAGAAAATTCACAAAGGTACATAAACCATATGAACTACGGCTTCATAAATATAAGGTCATCACTAACAAATCCAATTAAAAATTCTGGAGATGCCTCTTCATTCGGTGAGTGTTCAAAATATGGAACATGATATAGGAAACCGAGTTGCATAACAAAGTTCAGAATACAGCCAAGAATCAAGCTGAATATAAAGTGTGAGGGGTGTAAAATTTCTTCCTGCACTGCCACTTCAACAGTTGCTATACAGGAAATGTCAAATCCTAGGAGAGCAGACAGAGCTGTGAGCCACTACCCATATGGCTTCCCTCTGTATATAATTGAAGAAGGCTGCATATACCAGGCAAGTTTAAATCTCCAGGGGATTTCCATTGGCTATCATCACTTGGAATGTCACCATGCAAAGAAACCTTTCTCCTGGAAAAGGCAGACAAGATCTAAGAACACGGTAAAAGAGGCAAAGAGAGAGAACTGGATTAGATCAGTGAAGGGAATCCAAAAGGTCTTCTATCATATATAAATCGCCAAGGTCAGCCAAATAAAGGGTGAGGTGGGCCAGCAATCAAAAAAAGGACATCTTCTTTGAGACCATGGCTGGGGTACCAACTCAGTGCTTTGCACCCATCTTCACCAGAGAAGGGAATGCCACCAATACTGTAATAATGGCGGATGGTGTCATGACCCTGGATAAGATGAAAACAGGAGCACAGGTACTCAAATGGTTGGCAACCTTCAAGTTTACCTGTTTTAAATAGACTACACCCTCAGTTACAAAGGGAAGTAAGGCTAGAAATTGCCAAGGCTCTGGTGACAATCTTTCCAATCCTACTTAGACTTGGTGCCACGAGAGTGGAGAATTCTCAATATCACACTGTTTAAAGAGGTGGAAGAATAAACTTAGACATTTCGCCAAACACTGGGTATGGGGAGATAATTACTGGCAAAATGAAAACGTTTTTAGGAATTTATAGGTTAATACATAGTTATCAGCATTGATTTGTTACAGACAAATCATGACAGAGTTCCTTGGTGAAGTCATAAAAGCAATGTACATAAGGTAGTCTTATTTATACTGCGTGTACAAACGTTCAAAGGGTGTTTGATAAAGTACCACATGATAACTGGTAAACAAGATTAAAATCCATTGACTTAATGGGACACTGGTAATGTGGAGGCAAAATTTATTATGCACCACAAAACGCAGAGCTGTGATGAATGGATGGTTCTCAAACTAGAGGGAAGTGTACAGTGGTGTTCCCTGAGGGTTTGTAACAGGACTAACTTTTTCATATATATGAATGATCTTGACTTGGATACACAGGGCACTATTTCAACGGTTGCAGATGGTCAGAAACCTAGTAAACAGAGAGATGGATAGTAAGAGACTTTGTGACATCATAGACTGTCAGACAAGACAAATGATGGTGTTTCGCAGTAATTATGAAATATATATAACATTAAAATCCTGTTGCACCTCATTCAACAATGAGAAACTTTTTCAGGGATTTTTATTACAAGATTAACAGCATAGGAGTGAAAGTTCTCATCAACTAAATCGGCCATCGCAGTGGGCAAAAATGAAATATTAAAAATAAAACATTGTGAAATTCTACTCTTTCCCATTTTAACACTGCTGTTCACAAATTTATTCTAAATAAACTAATGCTTCTGTTAAAACTGGATTGAGATAGACAAAGATATTGACTCACATGAATCATTCACTCGCTTACATCTGGGCAGTTTTTTAAATCAACAACACATTACTGCATATGTCATTATAATTGGCTACTGTCGCTTTAAGGCAGAATTTGTCAATAACGGCCCACTGAGTTACTCTTTCTGAATCAATATCAGGCAAATGTAGAATGGATTAGTGAATCTTAAATCATTTACTGCTGATCAATGCCACAACTCACTAATTACTTTAGCCCCTCTGGACAAACCCCGGTTGCTTTATGAACATGTGACTGATGGTTCTTGAGCATTCTTAAATAGGTCATTGAGGTGACGGATGTAGGTTATAGTGATTAATAACACGCGCTCAAACAATGTTTGATTTCAAAGTCTGTTGCTGAGCCATAATTCAAAGCAGCACCTGATTTTGTTTTTCAGTCATGGGACGTGGATGGTTCTGGCTAGGAGTAGATCAGCCAGCCCCTCAAATGGCTCTCACATTCAATAAGATCATGGCTAAAATTGTGCTTCATCTCCACGGGGATCCATAGCTCCCCGATTCATCTAACAGTCCAAAAATCTATCAATCCCTGCTTTGAATATAATAAGTGACTGAACATTTACAACTCTTGAGCTAGAGAATTCCAAAGATTCACAATCATCCAATGGAAGAATTCTGTCCTTGTCTTTTTCATGATGACCAATCCCTTACCTTGTGACTATGGCCCTATGTTTTGGGTTCTCCAGTCAGGAGAAACAGCTACTCAGCATTTTCCCTGTTAAACCCTCAGAATGTTTTATAGCATATATGCATATACCAATAAGCTTAAGCTCCCATTCCTCTAAACTTCAGAGTATTATCTACTCATTGAATGCAATCACTGCTTGTGGGAATTAGTCAGATGAACCCCTGTCCCTTTAAGGCTATCTTGCAGGTGAGGCATTACTCTCAAGCCTGCACAGATAAAAGTCTGCTTGCACTACAGGTAGAACAGGCAAGTTCTCCCAGATGTGCTGCCAATATTTATTCTTCAATAGCATCAGTAAAAATGAATAAGTTATGGATCATTGTTGCCTTAGAGGCCTTGCTGTGCGGAAAGTGGCACAACCAATGAGAGAAAAGCATGTTTACAACTTCAAGTAAAGTGCTTCATTGATTAGAAAGCAATTTTGGACCAACAGCATTTTTGAAAGGCACTACAGAAATCCAAGCTATTTCTTTAAACTATTAAAACATTACCGACGATTTGACAGAAAAAAAATTCGGTGCCATTTGATTCAGCACTATGATGACTTACAAGTATCTAAGCATTGGAATAAGGGAAATGTAGGTTAATGGGAAATATGAAGGCCATTAAAC